ATATGTATATATATATATATGTCTGATTATCTGATTATTTATATTTCTTTATACTTCTGTACGTATATTGTAGTAAGTATTTACTTGTTCAATAGTCGCCAAGCAGTTGCCGAGATCAAGGCCCGCTTCGCATATTGCAAGGTCGACCAGGATTCCTCCATGTTGTTCTCTGCTGGGCCTTGTAACGGCTTCAAGCAGCGAAAGAGCGAAGCGCTGCCCAGTGCCAAGGAGGCTGCGCTAGGTGCCTGGCTTATTGTTGCGATCATGGTGCAGAGGGCATTGCCACCCAAGCTCTCCTTGTAGCTGCGTCCGAAACCGAAGCACAATGCTTCTGCTCAGCTCCTGCAGAACCCGTGTCAGCTTGGAGTCCCTGTACGGCACAAAGGCCCGACGCCTGCAGGGGAGCAATGTTAGCCCTACTCGAATGAAGAGCTGCTCAAGTGCCCGAGCTGAGTTTTTCTGAAATCCTTTAGCATTGCATTCGTCGCTGCATGAGCGTCAGCATTTCTTTGTACACAAGTCGGACGGTGTTGACTCAAGTTCGGGCGTCGAGCGTCAGCCATGTCTTCACAGCAAACAGGTCTCGCAAGACTGAGCTTTTTCAGCTTTCGATATTGCATGCCTCCAGGAACGCAGCGTAAGCTGCCCTAGCTGTCCGTCTGTCTCCGCAGATGTTTCCTGATTCTAATGTCCTCTTCGCTATGCAACTTTCGGTTGATCGCTTTGTTCATTTCTTGGTCTACTTACTCAGGCATTGTTTGGATGTGCTGTAGTCTGAATGCATGTGTCACGCATGCATGTCAGTGTCTGCTGCACAATGCACCTCTGCAACCGACAAAGAGCTATGACACGCGACGATGCGATCTTGAAAAATCAGAAGTCAGAAGAGCCATCAAACAGAAATCTCTCGAACCGCGCTGATTGTATGCTTACTCTCGGACCAGTCCGGGCAAGGCTGAAGACGACACTACAGCCAACCACCAAAAGCCAACGAGTCCAACTGTAGCACCCCCGACCTTCCACCAGTACTGGAGCTCAGGGCATTAATCACGTTGCTCAATGCCTCGACGCGGCCGTAGGAGTGGAGAGCGACAGTGCTCTAGTTGAAGCGTGCGCATGTTGACCGAGCCACCATCAACAGTCGGCTTCAAAGTCTAGACAGCAAAAAACATCTTCGTAGCGTGATCGCCGCAGCATCTTGTTGGCAGAAACAGCACACCAGCGCAAACCAGCTCCCTGGAGTCACCGAAACACTTTGTGCATGCAAGGCGCGCTGAGGGATTTGTTGATGTTGGCGCCTTCCTGGATGCTTGGAGCGGTTGCTCTCTTTCGGGAAGGAGCATTGGAGGTCCGCAGGTTATCCCGCATACCGCCATACGCTTGCGGACACGTGTCATCAACCCTGCTCTACAGTTCGTTTCGTTTCATTCACCGCAACTTCGCTGTGATTTATGCATGTTTTAGACTCTCGCAACTCGGGCAATGCAGGCGAGGTTGGCCCATGGTTCGCAGGGAGGGGCACATGTGGCCCCAAGTCATCTAACTCACGACGATCCCTTGCTCCAAGAGCCTTGTCCAACCTACAGAGCGGATCAAAACATGAAGCATAAGCGGGGCTTCATCGGAGAAAAGGACCTAGACTCCTCACGAGCTTCCAGGTGAAAACACACGGCTTTTAATGTTTGAAGAATTTGCGTTTTTTTGAGAACCGACTGGCACCCAAAGCACGGCATTTGTCGTGTCATATTGTGTCATCATGCGTACGCGATTGCGCAGCTGTTCATGAAGCACCCTATACCACACTGCAAGTCGTCGTCGGGCAAGTCAAGACACTGGGTGTGCTCAGAATGTACCGCAAGCAACTTGATTACTTATGCACGTCGGGCATTCCACATTTAGGGAACTGAGAACACTTACTTATACTTACTTACTTAAGCTGGCAAGCTGCAGCAGGCGAGTGTCACGGAAACGGGCATCACATGACTCCACAATAAAACTCGTCGTCCTGCCTTTGCCTGGCTCCGTTCTTCTGAATCGTTGCGTTCGGAGCCAGCCAGATCCACGAGGTTGAGCTTGGAGATCGTGTTCCTGACAAGGTTGGCTCAGCATTGGTCTTGGTTCATTTCGACGTTGGCAGGCTGTGATTCTGTTTTTCGAGAACATATGTTGACATGATTCCAAAGACGATCTTGTTCACCTCACAGGCCTGAGAAGCTATAAAACTCGCCCGGGCCTGAAGCATCAGCCATGAGACGCCTCTCTTTTGCAACTGGACGAGCGGCGACTGGTCACGCAGCCACTGTTTTAGCCGGCTGCTTTTGTGAGACCATGTCACGCCGCATGAGAACATGTGATCTATACGACTACTCTGTTGAGAAGGCTATAAGATGCGATGGGAGGGTCAGCATTGCTGGATGATCAACAGCCATCAACTGCCTACTTCCAGAACCTCTCTGCCCTCTGCGTCAGACCGCAGCTTGCGCCTGGCGAGCTGCTCTGCCTTCTCTCCGCGCATTAGTATTCCTTTGCGGCTGCGCTGGACAGATGGTGGGACCATCGTGTGGGACGGCGCCTCCGTGCAGGGGAAACTCATATTTTCACGGAAAATGGATACGAGACAAAGAGACTTTCCACTTCCGGCTGCTTGGCCTCTACAGACTCTACAGTGACTCTTTTGTACTATATAGTACCCGTCGCCTTCATGCCCCTTCACCTGCCGACCCAACACTCACGGTTGCAAACGCACGCTCGTCGATGGCCTGGCTGGCAATTGCCTCGACAGGGGCAGAGCACTACAGGTACAGAACAGCAGCTCTTCGCAGGCAGACAAGGCCTTTGATAATGGGCCATGCCGCTGCAGTGCTGCGTGGCCCTGCTGTAGATACACCTGACCAACTTGGAAAGCTTGGCTGGGGTCGTGAGTTTTTTCGAGCTCCCGGTGCACTAGAGGTCGGAGGAGCCAGTGCCGAGGCGCTGCGCCCCAGACTGAAACAGACTGAATACAGAGCCTCTTGTACTTACAATCCAGACCCTGTGTCCTCCATTTCCCTCACGCCTTGGGAGGAGTCGCCAACACGAGCTCCAGCTGCTTAATCCGTCGATCAAGGACCGCCAGCTGATCCTCCTCCTGAGCCAAGTTGTCCAAGGCATCGGACAGTAGGTAGAAAGTTCGGCATGGCTGAGATCTTGCGGCCCCGCCTATGCAAGACTCAACTGCACTCCAAGCTTCAGGAAGGCCCGCGTTCGAGTATTCAGAGGCGAAGCCATGGACCAGCGCCAGCTGGTCTCCACGAATGGTTGACCTGAGCGAGTGATGAGGACGCATGCAATGCCGTGCAGATACGTTCTGAAGCCGAGGTGGTTCCACTGTGCTGGCCTTTTAGGCAAACGGCAGGCGTGTCAGGTGCTGCACCCACATCTCTTCTTTAAGAGCTCTCATCGTCACCCTCTCGAATAAGTTAGTCCAATTTTGGCTGTGAGGCAGGCCGTGGAGCAGCACGTCTTCCAAGTTCTTCTTGGAATCTCGCAGCGTGCAGCCACCGCCGTACCCAAAATGACGGGCGATGCCTCACTTCTAGGTGGCAGCCTAATTAACCTGTGAGAGCTTCAGCTTACAAGCGAATCTTGACCACACTTCAGACAACGATGCCGCATCGCATGCCTCCATGTTTACAAGCTCGCCCTTACATCGTGCTCCCTCCGTCCCAAACCTCACCGGAAAAGCTGCGGCAGGTGGCTAAGACAGGCAGGCACAGGAGAGGTGCTCAAAGTCGACCTGCGGAACTGCGGAAATGACTGCTGGCAAATAAACACCTGCTGTGGGAATGCTTTGCTATTCTGAGTGTCTCTGCTTCAGCTTCTGGAATCCAGGATGGCAACGCCGCAAGCCGAAATACCTTCAGCACTGGAGGTTGAACTCGCATCGGCTTCATGCTATCTCACTCTATGGCAAGTTCGACTGGGCAAGATGCATCCTGGAAAGGAATGGGCGGGACAAAATACTTCAATCCAATACAGGCCCAGCGGCAGGAGTATCCAAAGCACTGAGCAAAGCTCCAGGTCAGTCTGGTGAATCCCTTCAGCCGGCACTGAGACCTTGCGAAGAAGCAGTCCGCACTCTCCGTGTTTCTCCGTCACAAATCTTGCGAGGCTTAGCAGGCAAATGGCTGCCGCCGGGCGCACGACTTCAGTACGGATATGCTGTGACCTTGATTGCATCCTGCAGGGCTTGGCTTCGGACCCAGCAGTCATGGTGGGCGGTTGAGCTGCATTATGCTCTCATCTGAATCACATGTGTGCAACAGCGACGTCCTGAACCAAAATCGCGAAAGTTCTAAATCTCGGCCGGCAAAGCCATGAACTTCTCCGATTACTGAGGTCTGTAAAGCCTTATCTTGGAATCTTATGTTCTTTGCCAGGAGCCTTTCGAGCCCATTCGAGCCCCCTTGCATCCAAGTTGCAAAGTGCAGCACCGCCTCGAGGCTCGCAATGCGCAACCGAGGCACCGGAGCCGGTGCGGCCTGGCGGCAGAGACGGGGCCAAGACGGTGTTTAGGTCTAGGTCTAGATGCATGTAGGCTCCGGTGTTCGGAGTCGTCCTCTGACATGCGTGCACGCGGGATTATCTTGCGTGGTAGCAAGGTCTCCGAGTGTTCAACTACAAGACCCGGAGGCCCAGGCAGGACGACGCCCTCTTGCTCCGCATCCACGTATATTGCAAGCGGGAGGTCATGTGCGAGCCTCTGGGACCTCATCCGAGGTTCCAGTCCCACAGTGCAGGAGGACCTGCAGGACTTGTTTGTGAGCTGTCTCTGCTAAGAGCCTGGCTTCCGCGGCAACGCAAGCTCGTTCATGCGATCCAAGAATATAAAGCACTAATCGGCTAAGGCGGGGACTCCGAAACGACAGACAGCGATAGCACTCACTCGGTCAAGGCCAAGTAGCTGAGAAAGGGTCAAATTTACTTGCTCATGCCTGACCTGTCCTTGAATTGGGGCGTCCTGTATCGGGTTACAACATCAAAACTATTTTCCTGGTATCTCGTCTTACGCGTCCAGTAATCAGCAACCATCTCTTTACAGAGTCTCACCGAACCAATACACGATACTGTTGACCCCGTCTCAACTGAGCCCGACATACCTATAGCTTTCAATTTGGGTTCCTTTGTTCGACATGTTCGACGTGCTTTGAGCGACTAACTTGGCGCCGGCTGGTGCGATAGGTTTTTGTCAAGGCACAGGAAGCCGTCGTAAGCGACACATGTGGCTGCCGTGCCTCGCAAGCGCATGACGCCTTCACCAACATGCGAGGCCTGCTAAGCCATGTCTCGAGAAGGATCAGGCTCGGCCTCGAGGCGAGGTAGGCGCGTTGAAGCTTTCGCCGCCTCCTCTGCTCCAGCGAGACCCCCGTGGCTCGAATCGGCACCTGCCGCAGGCAACTCAGTAAGAAAGAAGGCGAAGAGGCGCAAAGCAGCTCCCTTGAATTCTGTCAGACCGCACTACGTGTCAGCGCCTGCGACACCGAAGTAGAACCCTGGCGCAGCTTCAACGAGTTGAGGACGCTGGACAAAGCTTCGACCTTGCACGGCAAGGTCTTTGCAGGTCTATCGCCCAAGACTGTAACGTGCTTCGATGCCATTAACCTTCCAACAGCTGCAGAGGCGCCGCCTGCATCAAGAACTACTACACGCGACGACATCAGGATTTCTGGACCAGCCCGGGGAGTCGTAGCAACGAAGCTGTTTGATGCAAGAAGCCGTGCTCGATCTCGCGAACCCCACTGTGGCAGCACGAGGCTCCTGCACATGAGTCGGTGTCGAGCATCAGACACACTTTCAATACGCCCACGAGCTGCTCACTTTAGTCCCTGTAAACAAAAACTACATCAACAGCACTGCTTAAGAAATCACTGGTTTAATAAATTGAGCCCCTCGGACAGCCGCGCGACGAAAAAACAAATCGAAAAAATGCACAAATTGAAAATAAGAAATCCAGGGTACCCTGACCTCGGCGTGCCA